ACGTCTTGGAGATGGAGTCTGGGCTACTCTCAGCAGACTGAGCAGAGGGGGACATTTTTCAAATACCTGAAGGGTATTTACACACCTGCTCAGTGTGACGTTGAGGTGCACAGAGGAGTTGGAGCACAGCTCTGTGCAGGCCACTGAAGAGACAATACAATTTTAACCTGAGCGATGGACTGATTGACACTAGTCACACCTGACCACCAAAACAAAACTGTGTTAACATTTTCACATCGTATCCATAGATGTAACCCCTTGAGGTGACAAACAGGAGGGGTTAGACTGTGCCTATATTATAACAGAAAACAAGTTAGGGCGCAGGACGTGTTTACTTGACTTGGTAGTTCACTTTATTATTGTTGTAAAACAATGAAGGCAGCAGCTGGAACGTAGGTAGCAGGGCTGAACGATTTATTGCATTTGCGATTTTCTCATCGCAAAGGCTGTGATTACAATCTGGTCACATGACACGCGAGAGTAAACCAGTCTGCAGAAGAAGCATAAACTTTGCACCTTACGCCATACCTTGACTTGTTGTTGTAAAATGGCCTTAAGCTTGGCAGAAGCTGACACTACAGAAATTTAGTGTCACACAGGGAATGAAAGTAGTGGTTGTGGTGGGTGAAATCTTCGGCCCATCCGCGCTTTGGCGGACAGGACAAATGCACCTTACTACACGATTACCTTACGTGTAGTAAGTAAGCTCAGGAACTATCTATGTAATGGCGTTTCAAACCAAACCCACAAATCCGAAAGAGGCCCAGTCTGTCCCGAGTTACTACCAATGCGCTGCTTCCCTGCTAAGCATTATTTTCCAAAGTCAGCCCTAGTTGGTAGGCTGTTGAGGGTAGGCTTGGGTGGGAGGTGGATGGGGGCGTTGGACATGCAGTGTAATGAAAGCCTTTGCCAAATTACAGGCCAAAGACACTACTAAGCTGAGTTCAATCTAGGGCTGAGGGACAGGTCACCTATTATACTAATATTTGTAAGTCACGGAGCAAATTCCTATGTACGTCAACAAATAGACAGCAGAAGGTGGCTCCATATTCCATTATAGCTTCAAAAAAAGCTTTGAGCAGGGAAATAATAACAGCATTACAGCCAGCTCAATGAATTTTTGAGATGCGTAGCAAAAGAGGAATGCAGAATGGATAAAAAGGAGGGATATACTGGCTCTTTCAGCATTTTCTAGAGCACAGGCATCACTATGAGGACAACCGTGGATGTCGGTCAACATGCATGTTCATGTTTGTATAACATGTCAACCAAATAATCTATCATGCATTAAAAGACCAATAGATCTCTTTCCAGCACTGAGTCCTCAACACTTTCGTTCCAAAAAGGATATTGGTATTAAAAAACAAACAGATTTAAGACCAGAAACATCTGTACTGTTTACTGCAATTCTTGAAACAATTACACAAGCCATGTGTTTAATATTTTTAGCTTCATGGAATCTTTGTAGTTTGGATAAATAAGCTTCAGTTAATAATTCAATTTACACATGGTTTTTTAGATCCACCTGTGTAATCCTACAGTAACTCCTTTTTGAAGCTTATAATGTTCAGTTTTTGTTGACAATGGCCCTGTTTCAGAAAGCAGGTTTAACAAACTGAATCTAACCCTGAACTCTGTTGACTAAACCTCAGATGGAAAACCAAGTTTTCAGCTCTGAATTAAGCTCGTGGGTGGTGAATGAAAAAGGCTATCATCAACGGAGCGCCAATGCTATGATTCACCAAGGCTAAAGGTAAATCAAAGGAGAGAGCATCTATTTTAATCCAGTGGATTTAGAGATATTAATGCATGTGTACGCGGGCCGTTCACATTTATCTTTTAAAAAAAGAGCTTGAGTCAGACTGGGGAAAAGTGTCAATAAGTTAACACCAAAAAGTTTTATTTAGTGTTGTCAGTTAATGAGGTGGTATTATGCTTTTTGGCTTTTCCCCTCTCCTTTATTGAGTTATATCTCTTTTTTTGTGCATGTAACAGGTTTGCAAAGTGAAAAAGCCCAAAGTCCAGCCCAAAGGGAGTTCCCATCTCCCACAGAAAACTCTGCTCTGAACGCTTGTAAACAGCTGGTTTGTAGTCCAGCCCTTCACTTCCTTTACTTGTGACGTCACAATGAAAACGCATCATAAAGCTTGCCAAGCGGCTAGCGGGGTCAGGCACGCCCTCAAACCAAGCTAGTCTGAGCGGAGGCCCTTTGACTCGACTCGCCTTTGTTTGGTTTTCCATTGTAGAAATGTTGTACCTGTACCTGCTTCCAGGTACTTTTTTTCTTATCACCTCACCGCCGTCAAGGTTCCAAGCGAGCTGAGGGAAACTAAAATGTAACATGAAAACACGACAGAGAGAATCGTCACTATTCACTGCCAGCAACAGAAAGTTTTATATTTTACAGGTTTCGTCTGGAATTTCATCACTAAATCCGCTTCTGAGAAGTTTTGAGGTTAGAAATCAACTGTGTAGATTTCGAATATTGACAGTTTACGAGAAGTGATGGCGGAACAAAAATGTGCTTGAATATTTTCGGAGTTGAGGAGCTCCGGTGATGCCTGCGCCAACCCGCGGGAGGAGAGTGAGCGGCCGGCCAGCCGCCCGCTCACAGAGCCCTCTGCTCCCACCGTCACACAAACCGCTGCAGCAACAACGGCAGAGGAAAACACAGCTGGAAGGTTTTCATACCGCTTATCTGTCTTTACATTCTCAGTAATGTTGAAACGTTTTAACTTAAAAAAGAGAAAGCTGTGTGGATCGCTGATGTGTGTGTCGCATTGAACATTACGTCGTGGCAGTCGTGTGTGGCGCCGCTATGACGACAAGCTAACGTTATCTGCAATGGAAAACGGAGCAGGGCCGAGTAGAGTCGAGTCTATCGATTTGCGCTATGGTAGCATTTTTTGGCAAGGCAGCACAGATCGTCAGAACACCGGCAGCAGTTCAACGTTTAGTCCTAAAAGACGATGCAACTCCGACTCTGTTTGGGCCTGGAAATTCACAATCACAACCTGTAAGTATGCTTTTAGTGGTTGTGAATTATATTTAAAATAAACATGGCAATGTAACTTCACAGACTGTTCAAGTGCGGAGTTGTTGTAAACGTTGGCTAACACAGCTAAAGTTATAACTATAATGCTAATGTTACACCTGATGTGAAAGCTACTGAGCAAACATTCAAATTGTTTGGCCAATTTTTATTTAGTTGAAATATGGTGATTTTTGATGTGGAACAATGATGTTGTGTGGTTGTGGACTTGTGAGTAACTTATACCATCTGCTAGGTTACGGTCGCAGTCTGAAGCGGCTTTGATTTGGATCACACTACCTTGTTTCTTACGACCCGCCCTTCTCTGCTTCTGATTGGCTAGTAGTCCTTACCTGGGAACTGCGCATGTGCAACTCCCAACAAAGATTTTGTACAAGTAAGATGCATCACTCTGTAGCTCAAGAGCGGCACGTACAACACACAGGGTAAAAAGAGGAGCTGCAGCAATGTGCAGTATGAGAAAAATATGGTGTTTTTTGAAAATTAAACCATGTAACCATTTTGAAAATCAAACCATGTTCTGGTAAAACCCCTAAATAAGATTTTGAACCTGAAAATGAGCATAATACCACCTCTTTAAGTCATCATTTATCTTACATTTTTACATTTTAAATATATTTGTTCAGTTTTAATCTAATGGGGAAAAAACACAAGGGCCAGCTACCGAAGATAAAAAATATAGTTGAAGATGTATACAGAGCTCAAAGACAAAGAAACATGATGTCAGCTCAAAATCTGATCCAGTAATTATGTGTTAAACAAAGTCAGTGAAATGCAGTTAACACAGTCAGAGTTAACGCACTTTTTTTTAAACTCTATCTTCAAGATTTTGCATCTGCACCACAATCCTGCTCACTCAAATATTAACATTTAATCATAATCAAATAAATATAGGAATTATAAGGGCTGCACAATTCATCAAAATATTATCGGAATAGCAGTATTGTCAAGTGCAACATCCAAATTGCAGAAGCTGCGATTTTTTTAATAAAATGCTGACAAAACAGCATTATAAATACTGTACTGCTGCAGTGCCACGGCCTACAAATCTTGTTCTGCAGGTGGAAGAAAACATGTCTGTTTGATACAAACCCCAACAAATGTCACATCATCATGATTTTAATTGTTTTTTCAGTGAAAATTAAAATTGTGATGCAAAAATGATAATTCCCACTAATCGTGATTCATATTGAAATTTGTATCTGTCAATATGATTTTGTTGCCATTTGGTGCAGCCCTAGGAATTATGTTCAATCAGTGCGACCAATCCTCATGAGTAACAGAGATAATTACTCATTGATCCTAAGTGTCTAAAGCTTCATACTATTTTTTTCAATTTAAACTGAGATTACACATTATGTTTGCTTTAACAAACTGACAGCTGTCTTGTGTGCACAGTCAGTGTTATAAAAAAAAGGACATGCCGAGGTTTTATTCTGAACTGAGGGTGACTTGGTGCTGTGTAATATCTGAATGTGAGGGCAAAAACATGACTGACACTGCATAAAAGCAGAGGCTTTAGACAGTCCTGCGTAACAAACAAATTTCTAACCAGGATTCTGACATACAGTAAACCCCCATTAACTAATGCGCTTTGATATGGACTAACTCAATGACGAACAGCGCGTCTGGCTCTGTAAGAGGGAGGATTCTGAGAGAAACTTTGTAGAAAGTTTGTAGAAGAACACCTGCCAGCGAGCAGGTCAGGTTCAGGAGTCAGTTACCACGAGAAGTTACCTCTCTTTCTGGAACAGAAAACCCAGAGGTTCCCTCATCTCAGGGTTAACTTACCAGGGTTTTCACTAAACCCACTTTCTTAAACAGGGCCCATGTGTTGATTAAATCCCATTGCCAAACAGTGAATGTTAAAAAACATTAATCACACATTATCAGATTTTGACATTTGGAGTGCTGTGATTAGGCCTTTATGTGGTGTGCAAAGAGCCAAATACAAAACACACACTCACACATACTGAAATAGACTTGCTGAGGGGTAACTGACCTGGTTGATTGAATTGGCAGTACAAGAGGCAAGGCCTGTTCCCAGACACGCCACGAAGAAGATGACAGGGTCAAAGGGCACAGGAGCCATTGCATAGCCAGCTGCTGCAGTCGTAACCACCAGTGCTGAAACCACCAAGCAGGAACAACAGAACAAATTAAAACAAATTTCAGTGTCCTTCTTAAGGTATTACTTCTTGAAGTAACAGGTAAATACCACTGCAGATGCAATGTTTTGTTCCTGTATTGATTCCATACACTCTTTCTATTTATCTGAAAACAAATTACCATCAGTCATTAAATTACTATCCATAGGTTATCCAGCTGACAGCATGTCTCTGTGTGGTCAACAAATCAGTTCTATTTAATCGGGATGCACCAAAATGAAAATTCTTGGAATATAATTTAAAAATTAAATAGTCAAAATGTGCTTTTTACTCAGTGTTACCCAATGGATTTGGAGAGACTATAGTGGGTGGGTCCAAGGCCTGAGAGGGCCCGGTACAGTAAATTACATGTGTCCATTAATCTTTTTTCCTTATTGTATGGACACCTTATTTTGCAAACTGGACGTTGTCACATTTGTATCCACGCTAAATCCATCAATTTCGACCCAATTTGATAAATAATGTTGTATGTGGTTCTCGTATCACGTGCATGAAGACTTCATAGCCTCTCTTCAGGTAGGACTCTCATACTGCAATACTTTTCTTTGTAAAAAGAGAAAATAACAGGATAAAGTCTCTAAGTGACAGAAACACTCAAACTTCTAATCTGTATATGGTAAATAAGCAGGTACTTTTGTATATGTAGCAATGACTATATCTCCGTATTTGCATCATGTATCTGTCTTATTTAGCAAGGCATGTATTCTGGGTAATTATTTTGTGTATCAACTTCAGTCTGTGCATATTATGCGACAAAATCAAGATGTACTGTGTACTCTACCTGTGAGTTTGATTTTGGCAAGCCTGGCATAGATATCTGGCAAGTCAGACACGTCAACCTTCAGCTGCTTCCATTGTCTGTCTAGACGTGCCTCCCTTGCCTGATCCGTCTCCATCTGGACATGTGGAGTCTCATCTGAAGTAACAACAGTACTGGACACAGAATCTTTCTGTGCTGTTGCATCTTCTGCAGCGGAGTTCAAGTTGTATAGCTCAGGCTGTGCCTTACTGGTGACATCCTCTGGCTGTGGAATACTTTCTGTGACCACAGGATCAATAGTTGGTATTCTCTGCAACTGTCTTTCAAGGCTGTCATCTCTCTCATCCACAATGGCCAAGACAGGAGCCTGTTTCGGGATGGCACGTTGGTGAAGCTCACTGTTGTTCTTTGCAACATACTGAAGGGGAAACAGGTGGACAATGTGATTATGTTATGACAACAAAACTGAATGCATATACAACAAAAATCACCTTCAATGTGTTAAGAAAAAAATGCATTGAAAACGAGGAAAACAAAATGTTTGAGCTGAAATGAAAAATAAATTAGATATCAGGCGCAGGGAAAGTTACCTGCCGTTTCAGGAAGCTGAGATGCTGGTATGTCAGCCAATTTGATGGATCTCTTCTGTGCAGCTGAATAAGGCTGCGAGCAGTCTGGTTACATCGGGGAAGAATTTGAACTAATTTCTGTTTCACACTTAAACCAACCAAACCTACAAGAAATACAATTTTTAGTCATTAAAATAGATTATGGTTGGGTTAAAATATGTCGTTCATAAAAAATATACAGATAACACACATGACAAAAACTAAAAACAAATAATGAATGCATTACATGGAACTATAAACAGCATGTATCACAAACAACATGTTATCGATCTAACCAAACACTTAAAAGTTATTTCTATGATGGTCATGATAACAAAGATGCTGAGACCACTTTGTGCCTGCAGTGTAGTATCAGTATCATGATAATACAGCTCTACTCTTCCCCATTGTCTCACTAAGCCTTTGTGAGACTTAGTATGAGTATGCTTTGCATACACTCTGTTGCTAGCTTATGGTGAACATTTCACTAAAATGAAAGCAGAATAATATTACCTTGCAATAAATCGTACTTTCATGAGGGCTATAATGTAACTTTTATTGAGACTGTTTTACAAAGGTGTTGACTCAACTTTATGGTCCTTGGGGCAATTCGTTATACTGAGAGGTGTTCCTAAAATGGTATACACCACCCATTTACACGAATGAGGGTAGACTCAAATATTAACAATACCCCAGAAACGTTTTAACATAATCTAGACAAACATTATAGGAATGTGTTGCCAACAGCGTCCTTACTATAACAGACCTCTACATGCACATAATAATATTGATGATAATAATAATTTGTCCTGCATCCTTTGCATTCTGCTCACTGCACTATTTGTCAATCTGTCTATATTGATTTTGTTTTTGTTTATAGTGTGTATTTGTGTTCTGTATACTGTAGCCTGTGTTTCATTTTATTATTGTGTTATTGTCTGAGTAAGCACATCGTGAGCAATGTACAATCCTGAGTCAAATTCCTCGTATGTGTCCACATACCTGGCAACTAAATCTTATTCTGATTCTGACCTGTCGCGTAGCTAATATAACAGTTAAAATCTCACATCAACATTGTTTTGTAGCGTTAACATTTCAATACAACAGCTCACACACTGCCATTATAAAACCAGGCAGTAATTAGCTAATCTTGGTCTCTGAATACGCGGTTGACTTCTATTTAAGGTCACAGCTAGCCTCCTGCAAAACATATCAGGTGCCATCCAGATAGCTATAACATTATGGTAAGCTAGCACGCTAGCTTCCGTCTTAGCTTCAAAGGCTGTTTTTAGCGGGTGCGAACTTAAAAATGACTTTCAAATGTTACGGCACGTTAGACGCAATACGACATACTCTCCTGTATTACCTGACAGTCTGCTACATGGCGTTTTATACATGTTCTCCAATCATAAAGCCGGCTCTCGTTTCGACCTCTTCACATGCAGCATGCCGCCATTTTGACCCCGTTAGGTAAAGACAATCACTTCCGGGGTACAAAACGTCAAGCGCTCTGTGAATAGATGTGCAAGAACATTAAGGCTGGTAAAACTGTCAACATACGGTCCTCTTTTAATATCTTTACATAACATAGACTACTCCTGGCAAACTAATTATTATTTGTGTCTTCTTCTTCATATTTCTATGCCTTTCTGTAACGTTGTATTTCTCTATGTCGCGTGTGCACTTTATTCCTCTTTTTGTAATAAAGATTTAAGGAAAAAATATAGATATACAAGTAATGCTATGTGAATATATGTTTATCTCATGGATTTATGATATATCTATGGTCTATATAACACCATTTTAAAAAGTAGAAAAAATGATATTTTCCTGACACAAATGTGTAGGCTGTATCACTTTACCAGATAATAATATGATAAATGCCTTAAATTATGTCTACTGCTTCTAATATAAACGAAATTTAGGTTTGATTTACAATCATATTCAATAATTACACTGTATTGTATACAGTAACATAATATAATATAATTTCACAGACTTATAAATTGTATTGTATTTTTGTGATGTTTTCCATTAGACATTATACTTTGTCTTTTTCAATGGTTTCATTTGGGTTTATGTTTTACTGGCTACATAACACTGTAAATATTCATGTTCAGTGTTTTTTCACTGTATATATTTTGGCGTGTCAGTAAGAAAACCAGGTGTATATAATAAAATTAATGATGGCTGGATTCCATTTAGCTGCTTCAGTTTCCAGACCCTGGTATTTTGCTTGCTGGGTTAGGGTTTCCCCCAGGAAATTGTTAGGCAGAGGTGGCAATAAGCCACCATTACTCGGATGCATCCAATTCTCATATAAGTATGAAGATGACAGACTAGCCACATTTGTTAAATATGTGACATTTGTGTGAAATAGTGCATCTGCTCTTTCTCACTGAAGGCTAACATTTAATTTCATAAAGGTACATTTATTTCTTGCGATGGTGGTCTTCATTTCAGGCAATGTGACTCTGAGAAAACCCTGCTTTTTCCCATCCCAAACACTTGTGTCAGCAGTATGTTACTATAATGATTTGATAATATAGTTTCAAGAAAGAGCAAATGTATTTCCGGCAAGGCGTCTTGCTTAATGATTTTTTAACGCCTAAAGAATGGTGTAAAGTATGGTGGAATTAAAGTAAATTAATTAAACCTGTAACGAAATGTGTTTACTTGTAAGAAACAAGAGGTCAGGTTACCAGAAGAACTGTGTGACTCACTAATAAATCTGAGTTGAAGATGGCTTTAATTTAATTCAAAATTGCTGTCTAATTCGATGTCTGGCATTTTGCCTCCTGCCCTTGTGTGTCCTCTGACTAGTCCTGCCGTTTGGCCTTTTATTTATGTGTATGATCATCTTGTTGGCCCCGGCTGCCACAGCCAACAAGATGGAAACCTTCTGATTAATAGCCTCTGCAGTGCTTTCACTTTGTAGCCTTGCTTTATTGAAACAAAGATAATAAAACAGTATGATTGTCTGTTTCAGTACAGTGTTTCATTTCCTTGAACAATAACATTTTACTGAGCCAGGGGGACGATTATTATGCTGCTCTGATTGTAGAGATCATATTCAATATAAAGAAGAAAACATTCCTGGTTTATTTATTTGCCAATTAAATTTAAGTAATCTGATTTGCAATTGCCGTGTACTGTACTAGCGTGTCTCATTATTCAGTATTTAATATACACAGATGATTTGTTTTATGAATGGGCATGATGCAAATATCCTTTACAATCACGTGTTGTCTATGAACTGCAATCCAGCTGAGCATCCAATTCTCCCCATTCATCTCATTCATTCCACTCTACTGCCAGCTCTTCCTTACCCGGTAAGATTACATGGTGCAATCTCCATGCCCCATCAAGATGCAGGGACTGATGAATGCCAACAATACACACAAGGCCATCCCAGATCCAGCACAAGAGCACCTTTAGTACAGGAGATAACCATTATGTGCTGTTCTACAAGATCTCATTCCCCACTGACCCAGTCAACCTCTTCATGTTTGGTTTTAATGTGAGTGCTGAAAAGGAGGTTTATTGCTTGGTTTTACAATGTACTATTTATTTCAAGGGTACTATTACATTTATATACAATTTCAGTGTTCTATGTTTGCTTCATTTTGCTTCTCAAGGGCTGCAGAAATACAGTTTCTGATGGTAGGATCAAGCGTGCCAAGTTTATGGCTGTGTAGGGCACTGAGTCAAACCATAATCTTTTGTATAGCAATCTGTAGGCTACCACTGAAGATGACTGACATCCTTAACAGAATGTCTGGGACCTCACATTAACAAACAAGTTCATTCAGGAGTATGCCGTTCCTCTGGACTAGAATGGAATAACATTTGTTTATTGAATCAAGGACTACATTATACCTTGCCAATGAATGTGAGTTGGACTAGCTCAGGGTAATCAATTCTAATCATCTAGCCATCCTTATCCACTGCGTGACCATTGGCCTGGCAGCTCGGGCTAACTCATTTTGACTATATAATTTGGTGTTTTATTCATGTGTTCATTACTTGGATATCTTTAATTTCAATGTGGAAAATACAATTTGTTTGAGGTTTGTGGTTAAAATACCATAAGACATACTGTCACCTTGTTATCTAGGATTTGGTGAGTTGTTCTCTTAAAGTCAGGAAGCTCTACTTGTATAGATAATTGCACGATGCACTCCAGTGAGTAAAGACAAAGCCTACATGCTTTTAATGCCTTCTATCCATAAGGTGGACCAAAAGACAAGACCTAAAGAACAGATGGACAGAATGGGAGTGGAATTGCTCAGTAACAATAGGAGGAGTTTGTGAGGTCTGTTCAACCCAAAGGCCTTTCAAAGGATCTTTACAGTTATTCTTGCTCTGGTGGTGGTCTCAGTATGAGGGCTCTTTATCACGCTGCTTTCACTGCATCTTGAAAAAATAAAATGGCTGTAAACATCCTCTCAAGAGAGAAACAAAGACACAAAAGGACTCAAGGCTTGTATTGTGTGAGGTGATGACATAGTTTATCAGAGTAAAAGCAGGCTGATGTCAGTCCGGGAATGCAAGACATGTAGTGGTATCTAATTTCAGGATGCGTTTTGTATTTTGGATCACAGCAAAATTTAACTTGACAGGTAAACAATAGCAGACTTTTAATGTGTTTAGGCTTAGAATATCTCTGATAAATTAGCTTAAAATAAAAAAGTAACATTTATTGAATTACATTGCACCATATGTGAAGCATTCTAATCATGGGATTGAAGAACGTAGTAATACATAGATATGGGCCTGGGTTGTTTTTCCTCACCAAATAACTAATGGTCACTTAAAATGCTTTGTTATATTAACCAAACTGTTTCAAAATAGCATATTTGACTGTGCAGATGTCAGTAAGATTGATGGGTTAGCACAGTGTTAGGATCTCTGGCTGTCTGGTTTACTGTGATGTTGGTATGGCAAAAGGAAAACAGGTCTCTAGCAATTTCAAGGGTCTAAGAATGTACTCAGTTTTCAATTTAAAACGCTGCTCTTTGGTACTTAGTGGTGAAAGGGTGACATGTTGAATCAACTGAAGGTAACATGGGCCCCAGGTAGTGTAAGCAAAGTGCTGAAGGTTAGACATTAATAAGACCCTGTTCCCTCCATGCAAGCAGCCTTCTGCCCACATATGGTCCTTACAAAATGGCCAAATCATTTTTTATTCTAGTTTTACATGTCTCACACTGGGAAACACACTAAGCGCCTATAATGATGTACCCCCCCCCTCCCAAAAAGCCCCAATAAATGGCGTGGTAAAATAATGGAGGCCTCCCAGACCTGTCATCGCCCCCAGTTCATCTGCTCTGATTTACAAGCACTGTCCCAGAGACTTTAGTGCCATCACTAATCCCACAGGGATGACCATCTGAATGGCAGTGGAGTCAGACCTTCCAAAAAAACAGAAAGAGGCAGACAGTGCTGCATAACTCCAAGCAGAAACAGATGCAGAGACGCTCTCCTGTTTATAATTGATTTTCAAGGGCAACATCTTGTTGTCATAGTTTGTCTAATGAGCCCCTGGCTGGCGCCCTCTTACTTGTGAACCACAGGGTGTCAGATGGAGCAGCCATCCGCCACCCTACCCCCACTAGGATGGCACCATGCTTGTATACTGACATAACCCATGGAATTTCCCTGTGGGACAGACTCTTGTTCTCCTTTAAAAATTTACCCGACTTCTTTTTAAAAGGTATTTTGAGTCAGCAAAGCATCCGAAACCTCCAAAGGAGAACTGCTGTCCCTCACAGCTGCCGGCCGGAGGCTTGCCCTCTTTAGATGGACAACAGGTATCTTCAGGCCCAATGGCTGCCAATGTTTATGTCTGAGATCATGGGTGTCTTTGTGGGCCTCCAAGGCTAAGCCTCTAATTGGCCATGGCTCATCAATCACACAGAGGAACCCCAAAGTCTCATCCAAACAGCTAAGAAGAATGAGACCCATGGAATGGACTCTATGCCTCCCAAAGGCCTAAATGTAGGCTTTGGGAGGGGCAAGTGGTTTGTGAGAAAACCACACTTATTCCAAGTCAATGTCAAGCCATGTATGCATCTGTCCATTGTCTTTCCTGACATGCATGGACTACTTCCCCTGAACATTAAACTAAAAATAAATATAGATGTCTCACCCCAGTTTACCAGTCGAGGAACATGGAGTGCTCTTTAATCATGCGCAAGACGCTCAGACTGGCATATGCAGTGTTAAACAAATGCTAAGCTAGATTGAATGTCATTACATCCGTTTAATGTTAGTTCAAGGAAAACAGACAAACATCTGGCTTCACTTTGTTTCTTATTTGCTGTTTTCACTTGAACTTGACCTCCTGGTGATTTATTGAGCGGGTAAGAATACACATTTCTTTCATTCAACTTAATTATCTTGGTTTGGTGACAGTGCCTGGCAAGTGGGCGGATAGTCATTTTATGTGGCATCGGACAAGGTGACACTCTGCAGTTTGC